TCGTCCCACGTGCGGCGTTCGGCGCCGGATCCTCGCTACGAGAAGCCTAGGAGGGGTATACGCGCCGCCGCTAGCAGAACACAACTTAAAATGGTAGGCTTCCCACTGTGCCGCTGGCCGCGGCGATTTACCTGGTGCGGTCCCTTTGTTCGTCGTCGCCGGAGGGTTGGCGAAACCTACCCCAGCCGAACCCACCCCTTTCCACGGAGGGCGGCGGTGGCGGCGTGGGAAGAGCCCCGCCGCTTATCGGAAGCGTGCCGATGTGGCGACGTGTGAAGGCGCCCTTAATGCGGCGGCTGCAGCGGTGCCTGAGTGCACATGGGCTCCCTTCACGTAGGGATGAGCTCCCCTTCGCACGCTCTCCCTTCCCCTTCCGTCTTTTTCACCGCTTGGGGATCGGGCCTTGATGCCTGGGCGACGCTGCTTTGCGTAGTATTTTCGATCGGGTTGAAATATTTCTGTCTCATCATGGTTCTCTTTGTGTTGGAGTCCGAATCCTGTTGTTCTTTTATATGCAGTTTTTTTATCCATTGCGCAATTTCGTAATTTTTGTTTTGTTCCTTTCTCCCAACGAATGCTTTCTTGTTTATTACGTTCCTCCTTTGTCTTATCCCTTGTGTATATTTATTTCTCATTACCTTTTTCTTTGTCGGATTCTATCACGTGTAGCTTGATACCATGTGCAACGAGCTTTTACTTTCCGTTGCTCTCTCATCAGAGATTGTTTTCGTCTGTTCAGAGCACCAGGGGCGGATCGAGCCGATCGGTTGGGAGAGGGTCAAATATTTTTGTTAAATAATGTACGTAATATTATGTTTATTTTGGTAGCGAATATACGACTCTATACAAGATTTTTAAAATTGCATAACTATAATATGTATTTAATTCAATTTTGCCAAGTAAATGAAGGTAGCATAAGAAAACTAGGCCTAGAGGGGGGGGGCGTGGCCCCATCCTCCCAGATCGGCTGCTGCAGAGCACCGCCTAGGCTAGGGTGAAGCTCCCTCTTCCCTCGCGTGCTGCATAGTTGAGTGGAGCGCGCCCTTGAGGGCCCCGGTTTCGAGCCCCGGTGCGCTTGGCGAAGCGCGCTCTGCAGCCCTAACGAGATCCTTTCGCCCGAGGCTCCGCCCCGAGCGAGCGTTTGGTTGGCGGAGTCGCGGTGACGAGGGGCGCTGCGCGGTTGCCACCCCTGCGGGCGGAAGGGCGGATTGTCGCCGGAGTCGGTTGTCACCTGAAATGTGTGGATCAGGGTGGCCACGATCTGGAAAACCGGGAAAAAACAGAACTTCATTGCTCTGGAAAAGTCAGAGGAAAATCAGGGAATTTTAGAAACAATTGTTTCTAATGTGAGGGAATTTTGGGATGCTTTTACAACGTGAAATTATTTTTAAAAAAAAGTGCGTAATTACGTTTTGCTCGATTTATATTTGCTCAGTTTTTTTTTAATCTATCCATTCTCGGCGAAATCGTACAGCTGACAAATTAGATTCAGGCTTGCTTTAATAAAGTGTGAAATACTCTATAAATCTTATCAGCTATTTTTTAGTGCTATGGTAGAGTCAGGGAAGTTTATTTCAAGACAAGTGGCCATCCTGTTTGGATGCTGTCTGTAACTCTCCCGTAGAACGTAGCTCTGACTATATTTGTCTGGCCAGGGCGAAGTTTGCATGAAGTTTCTCATCTCCTGTGCCCTCTCTTCTCCATAAAAAATATAAAAACCTTTAAGTTGCATGAAAACTGATGATTGCTCTATTACGTTTCTTCTTGCGTACCTCTCGCCATTGACAATTTCTTCCCTCAATATGATTTAACCAATAATATAAATTGAATTGAATATGCCTTATTTTACGTGGCGAGACTCGGGCCATCAGGCCCGCTCTTCGTCTGTCCACGCAAATTTCGCTACGCTCCTTTCATATAACAGAGAAAGAAGGTATTTCTTGGGCGAGAAACAGGCGATTTGAATTTAGCTCAGAGGCGTCATTTAGGCTTGAGGATCTTTTACATGCAAGTAAATCTACGAACATGGGACAGCCGGCTTTACTTCCCCTCCGAAGGAAGGCGTACGAAGGATTTTTTCGCCCTTAAAAATCCACCGGGTTTGAACCCGCCAACTTGGGTACAACAGTCCAGTACGCTAACCGTTACATCACCGCCGCCGCATAAATCAACCTAACATGACCAATACCCAAAAAGAAAACTGTAGTTAGTGCCCTTTTGTCTCGAAATGTAGTTTGTTGTCCGGATGGCCGAGATCGTGAAAGCAAGTGTCGTAGCGATCTTGGACTGAAGGATCGCGGGTTCGAGTCCCGCCTCAGGTATGGTTGCATTTGTGTTCTTACACACTTATCAGCGTATCATGTCATCTTCATAGTAACACAACGTTAAATCCTATAGTGGTCGCTAATAATCTAGATGCGACCTTAAATTTAAAAAAAAAAGTAGTATATATGCGACCTTAAATTAAAAAAAAAAAATAGTAAATGTGGAATTTCTCTATGCGGAAGCAAAAGCAAAAATGTCTAAGTTTTCAGATATGCTAAACTTCGCTTTATTGGTGCTTTAATTGATCATTCAACTAATATGCATAGTAAAAAAGGTGGCGAAGCTGAAGGAAACTTGTTCAGAATACATTTCTCCACCCCTTCCCGCTCATTTTTTACTGTTTTACTTATAATAAATCAGTTCAAACATTATACATGGCAAGATGTAGTAGGTATTTGTGGAAATTCTACGCCGTTACAGTCACTAAAGTTACAACATTGAACTACTTGAACTAGCATTAATCATACAGTAATCATATGATTCGGATAAGTTAATAGCTCGATTGTGTGACAGGTGCTTCTTCAAGAGCGGCATTTTCATCTACCTGAATCTGATCTGTTAACTTAAAAAAGTTTCGCTTAAAAATACGGTACCAAAAGAAATGTGCTAATTCGTGCAATGAATCTAATTTTCTTTTATCGAAAAAATCCTAATGACAATTTCCTGGTTCGGAGGAATGTAGGTAATATGAAAAAGCAGTTAACAAATTAAAATTTTTCTTGTGTTTTGATTTGAATTCTGAGACTGCAAATATACCAAGGCGTGTTACATTATCGTGCCCTATGTTCCCACAGTTCGCTGTCGGAACAAGGAAGTTTTCCATCGTGCGTGTTTATTCTAACCGAGTCTTTCTATCACTTTTTTTACTTTACGGACTTCGTTTTCCTCTTCTTTCTCCCATTCAGCCTCTCGCATTCTTTTCGCCGTACTTCACATTGTAACTGCTGTAAGGGGAGCCCCTCGGTCGCCAGGCAACAGGTCTGACGTCACACTCCATATCGAGCCGAGTCAACCTGAGAGCCGTGGATAGTATAAACCTGGTCTCTCTCTCCCTCTCTGCTTTCCTCTCCCATTTTCTAGTGCAGTTTCCCTTCCTTTCGCCCATCTTTTCTGGCCTACCCTGGGATACGACAATTTATGTACGAACATAACTTATTGGAAAGCCGTATAACGTACATCTAATCAACTTGCCCAGTGTTCTTACGCAGATAGTACGTACAAGAGAAAGAAGGGTGAAAGGAGATAAGGAAATGTAGTTTCAGATTTTAAATTTTAAAGTGCGTGTTTCAAGAGTCTAGAAATTAATAAATTAAAATGATTATACTTGTATATAGGTTATTTCCCAAAATTATTTTCCCATAGGCGGATTTGACTTTAATTGATTTAAATTGATTTGTAGTTAATTGATAAACTTCAATTAATACTATGGAATTATCGAAATCCTTGACGAAACAGGCTCATAGCCTAGGATAGTTTCGCCATCTGCAGCAGAAAATTATTGATGTTTGTAATAAAAAAAGTAAAAATTTGTAAAAATCGTAATTTTTTTTTGAAAAAACAACTGCGGATTGCTGTTGTAAATAAGTTCTAATAGTACCGAAGCCGTTCTAACACATTTTGTAATCTTAAACGGAACTAGAAATTGTAAATGGCAACTAAAAGTTTATCAGTATTTATATCTCGCATAAATAATTGTAAAAATTGCAGATGTAGTTTACCAGACTTTTTTTTACTTTGCAGTCATCTCAACACTTTCCAGCATGGCCTGTATTAAAACAAACTTAGAATGCACTCCTGGTTTTCGTACGGTAATGTCAAGAGAGGTTGATCGTCATTCGACGCATTGTGCGTGCATCATTTTCAGAAATAATAAAAACAAATGTAATGTAAGATAGTGTTTTGGGTAACTTTTAAGTAACCGAAGTACAACTAGAATGTGTCCGCTGGCAGAAATTTCTGGATATTTTTGTTTATTTGTTTATTTCAAAATATGTTCGTGAATTCATGGTTCAGTTTCCCAGTAAAATTTATTTGCTCCTAATACAATTAGAAGTGTTTTATCTACTCGAATTTTAAATTTCAAATTCTTCCGTTAAATTTCTTAAAATTCGTATTATTAACGGTTTGATCATAGTGTACCATTTACGTATTACAGTTTCGAGTAGTTGGTATTTATCCATCTTTCTTAAGAATGCAGTTGAATGTTTTGAAAGTTCAGATAACGTTATCATCCGCATTCGTTATATTTGCATGATTATAATTGTGAAACTTTATGAAGATATTTTGTGGTAAAATTATTACAATTTTTAATGAATCGATTATACGGGTTTAATTAGTAAACTAAACATTGTCCATCCGCCAGTGTCAAAACAGTTCAGAAACGACGCTGTCTTAACGCATCTTGTCCATGATAAAACAATGGGTGGAATTGTTGAAGGATAATTAATTTCTGAAAGTTCGTTTTGTTTGTTTTATTATTTTTGTGATCGTGAAGGGTGAGTACTGTGGAGCCACCTGTTAGGCATTATTCAGGCAAGTTATAACTCTTGCCTTTCAAATTGTTTTATGGCTTCGCGTGACGAATCCAAACATTAATTCGTCGTAGACAATTAGCTTATTGAGTAAATATTTTTTAGTATTATTGTAACATAATGTTTTGATATTGTGTGTTTCAGGGATGACGTTTGAATGAAAATGGCTTCACCCACTCCTTCTCTTGATTCATTGCCTGGAGCTAACTCAATTGGATCTTTGGTAGACCAGACGGAAGCTCGTTCTCTGTCACCTTTGGCTGATTCTCCTATCACCGTGAGTGGATCTTCCCCAGCCAGTTGCTCTAACAGTGTGTGCAGCAGCAGCAGTGGGATTATTGGTTGCATCGCGCCGTCAAGCTCTCTGCTGAAGTGTGGGTTATGCCATGAGACATTAGTTAACCCAAAAATTTTGTCGTGTTATCACGTGTACTGTCAACAGTGTGCACCTGAAAAGACTGAGTGTACTTTGTGCCAGGAGGATACATTAATTCAAGGGCCTTCTTCCCTTGACAAGAGTGTTTTTCTGGACAGTTTAACGTCATCTCCAGAAGGTTACCCTTCATCACCTCTTCCTTGTACCGGCTGCAAGAGCCGTGAAAACGGAGCAGTTGCTCGGTGTTTTGATTGTAAAAATTTTCTTTGCCCAAATTGCATGATGGCTCACCAGTTTATGCATTGTTTTGAAGGCCACCGGGTCTTGTCACTTGGTGAGCTTCACCAGAATGGGAGTGGAAGTAAAGAAGATCTGAAAAATGGTCTTACATCAACGCCTACCAGCACAGCCAATGGCACTAATGGAACTAGCAACAGTGGTGAGAAACCAGTTTATTGCTTGCGTCACAAGAGTGAAACTATGAAGTACTTCTGCCGTACTTGCAATATTCCCATTTGCAAGGAGTGTACTCTTCTTGAACATCCTAGTGGCCTCCATGATTATGATCTTATTGGTGAAGCAGGCCCAAAACAGTTAGATCTGATGACCCAGACTATGCAAGAAAGTAAAGCTAAAGCCACAGATATTCGCAATACTTTGAAAAATCTGGAACACACATCAAGTCGATTACAAGTTCAGTACCACAAAGCTCAGAATGAAATCAATGACACATTCCAGTTTTACCGCTCCATGATAGAAGAACGAAAACAAGAGCTGCTCAAGGAGCTGGAAAGTGTATTCTCAGCCAAACAGTTGTCACTGAATGTGCTAGGACAGAAGGCTCAGGAAACAGTTGAAAAGATCTACAGCACTTGTGAATTTGTGGAACGAATTGCTAAGAGGGCAACAATGACTGAAGCTCTCATGTTGAAGAAAGTTTTGGATTCACGATTCCAGACCTTCATGAACTATAATCTGGATTTGAGTCTGCAAAATGGTGTTGATCTTGAATTTGTCTCTAATTACCAAGCCATTCAAGTTGGTGTTCGAAATACATTTGGTTATGTGCGCTCAAGTTCAGACATTCCTGTAGGGCCTAGTAAGCAGCCACCCATTGCTCGCCCTGTTAATGGTACCATTCAGCAACAACATATGAATGGCAGTCCAGGAAGTCTCAATGGTACTGGTTTGCACAGCAGCATGAATGGAGGAAGTATCAGCAATTCATTGAACAGCAGTACATCTCTCAATGGAGTAATGGAAAGGCCTTATTCCAATGGCCTGATGACACCAAATGCTGCGAGCTCACCTTTTGAGTCCAACATCATTTCAAAAAGATTCAGCAGTGCCAATAGCCTAGGACCTTTCTCAACTTCTATTAGTGATTTGAATTTGAATGGAATGAATCCATATGAAAAATGGTCAAATGGTGGTACAGAAAGCATCTTCCAGAATGGAGGTGGTGACCATTACTCCCTATCCTCCACTGTTCCTAATGACACAATGCTTGATCTAACCTCAAAACTAATGTCCACTGCAATTTTCCCACCCAAATCTCAAATCAAACGTCAGAAGATGATTTACCACTGCAAATTTGGAGAGTTTGGAGTAATGGAAGGACAGTTCACGGAACCCAGTGGGGTAGCTGTCAATGCCCAGAATGACATCATTGTTGCTGATACAAATAATCACCGCATTCAAATATTTGACAAAGAAGGTAGATTTAAATTCCAGTTCGGAGAATGTGGGAAACGAGATGGCCAATTGTTATATCCTAACAGAGTGGCTGTCGTGCGCACTTCAGGAGATATAATTGTGACTGAACGATCCCCTACACATCAAATTCAAATTTACAATCAGTATGGCCAATTTGTGCGCAAATTTGGTGCCAATATTTTGCAACATCCTAGAGGTGTTACAGTAGACAACAAAGGTCGTATTGTGGTTGTTGAATGCAAGGTGATGCGTGTTATCATCTTTGACCAGTCTGGCAACGTGCTGCAGAAGTTTGGCTGCTCCAAACATCTGGAATTTCCAAATGGTGTGGTGGTCAATGATAAACAAGAAATCTTCATCAGCGACAATCGTGCCCACTGTGTGAAAGTGTTCAACTATGAGGGCATGTATCTTCGTCAGATTGGAGGTGAAGGTATCACCAACTACCCCATCGGTGTTGGCATCAATTCAGCTGGTGAAATTCTCATAGCAGACAATCACAATAATTTCAATTTGACCATCTTCACTCAAGATGGTCAATTGGTATCAGCACTTGAATCCAAGGTCAAACATGCTCAGTGCTTTGATGTAGCACTAATGGATGATGGCTCTGTTGTTCTTGCCAGCAAGGATTACCGCCTCTACATCTATCGCTATGTTCAGGTTCCACCTATTGGCCTGTAAATGCAGTTGTTCAGGTTTTGAGCTCTATTTTGAAGTTCAAAATTCTGCTCATAATTCCATTACAAACATTTCCAATTTTTTTCTGTGACAAAAATAATGTAAAGTGGAGGTGAAAACAGTGAATGGGTTCTCTGTAACCAATTTCATACCACTGCCCTCTCCTGCACGAGAAGTTGTTTTCCATTTAGGCCATACAGCTAGACTGTAACTTGTTCTTTTCATGGGCAAGCTAGAGTTTGGCATTAAGGCTCATGTTATTGTTGTTGTAATAAATGAAGACATATCCCTTTCTCTTCTGGAGACCCTCCACTGTTGATACTTAACTGGCCAGATGAACTGTATTCGGCACCAACTGGCGCACAGCGTTTTGTATTTTAAGAAAACAGTGTATTTGCCACAGATGTTGGAGATCTCGAGGCAGCAGACTGATGCAACATTTACTTAACATGATTGGAGAAAAAAAAGCAGCCATTCCTTATACATTTAATTGTTATTGTGCATTTTGAAGAGGAGTGGGTTGCAGAAATTTATGCTGTTGTGTATTCTTCTAAATAGCTGATTTCTTCCCTTGATAATAAATAAGATGATAGAGATAGTTTTGTATTTCATCATGTTGAAGCTATGTGGAATGATGATTGCATGAAAGATGTTCTAAATATGGCAACTCCATTCTTTTAACTAAATAGTTAAAATGAAATTGGAACTATGATTTTATATGGCTCAGAAATTTTAGGTAGATGGCCATATTGTTTAGTATTTAATCATGCAAGAAAACTAACATTGTTTTGACCAATTCTTGATCTATCATGTACCACTAAACAGGGAATTTACAACATTAATGAAGAAAAACATATGGTGCCTGGGCCATGTTGTATAGTTCTGAAATTTATGCACCTGTTTCATAATAAGCTCTATTTTACTATGCGTGTTTTTGTGCTGTTTTGTGACATTGTACATGTAGTTAGGTAGTGAAGTATGATCAGTGAACTGTTTTATATACAACATCAGGAATCCAAAGATTTCCGTAGAAGAGCAACACTGTTGTCTACTTTTTGGAAAAATGATACCAAGCTGTTGATTGACGGCAGTGTTGGCTTTCCTTTGTTATGCTTTCCTTTTTCTGTTGTCAAAGTGAAGCGTTGGGAGATCAAGAGCATCCTAGTCACTCTACATGCATTCACTTGCGCCCTCCCCATGTTACAGATTTAATGGCACTTAACATGACCATTTTTATATATTCTTTGTTTTATATTTTTCAGTTTTTTGTTACTCTCTGTAGAAATGTTTGGGTAAGATGTTTAAGGGGAGGGGAAAGGAATGGTGCTTTCAGCAAAGAAAAATGCCCACCATTCAGAGTTTCCTTTTGTTTTGAAATGCTGCCTGAGTTTAAGATATAGACAGTGTTGTATTAACAAAGATAGCAATACCTTTTATTATTATTATGATTATTATTGTCATTATTTTATTATTTAAGTCTTAATAATCTTTATGAATATCCCTGACTGTGAACGCCTTTTTGCGCATGTAAATTTCCTCATTTTTTGGGTTCTTTTCAAAAGGCCAGATTAGGAAGCTTCTGAGGACTTGACTTGCAACTCAACGAAAATTTTGTGTAAAGTTTGATGCATGTAATTATTTCAAAGAATTCATTAATCAGTCCCAATTACTAATACAATCCTAAGAAGGAAATGTTGTGTGTGTTAAAATTTTAAGTTTGTTTTATGGTATTAGTGAAACAAGATTTAGTCAAAGTATTATCATGTTGTTCTAAATTCTTTATTTCTTGAATGGTGACTGATACCTGTTGCTTTTATATACCTTTATATATATATATTACAATTCATATAATGACAGTGATCAATAAATTACCATGAAAGTTAATCTGCTGTCAAGTGTATATGCTATTAAAGTATTTGTTTCTTTCTTGTATAAAATGTAGTATGAATATTTATCAGTTTGCTAATTTATTTGTTTTATTTTACATGAAAATTAATGCAAGCATTTGTGAAGTGAGTTAATAATCTTGGAAACTCTCCCATGGCATTTTTAATGTGAAGAGAGTCAAAGCAGATCCTCAACCTGCACCAACACACGTCACAGAGCTTGTAGTTCATGTTTACCTTAAAATGATATTTATTGTTGTCAAAAGTACTAGCAATTTGACCTAGTGAACCAGTTGCAATAGGAACATGTTAGCCAGTATTGCCTGTTGCTCGAATAAGTGACATGCCTGATGGCCTTGTCTGAAAAAAGGTTAATTTTAATATTTTGTTGATTTTTAAAGAGCTCTTAAATTAATGTAAATAGTTTTGTTTTGATTTATTTTTGTTGTAATTTCATTTTTTAAATAAGAGTTTTGTTTCTTTCAATTTCTTATTTGATTTCTCTTTTATTTGTTATGTTCCTCCTTCATTAAATGTTTTATGCATGTAATAAACACAAAGGAAAGTCATCCAGTGGGGTTAGGAAGATAAGCTAAGCATTAACATTATTGTATCTCAAGGACTTACTAGAGTCCTTGTCCTTTATCACTGCTAATATTTGCTACCTGTCTCACAGTTTTATCTCTAGAATCAGGTGAAAGTAATTTATGCTCTCTTTGCTGATTACTGAATTTTATCTATATTCAGCCTAATTGCCATAAGGATATTCTCTATATAAAACACTAAATAACTTGCATTTCGATTGATGATCTTCCTGGCCCTGGGCACAAGTAATTTGTATAGAGTATTGTACCATTTGTTGTGTAAAACTTGGTGTGAGGTATTTGCCGTGCCCTTCTTCCAAGGTTTCTGTTAAAAGAACAAAAACAAAGGATGCATGTTGTCCTTTCCTTTTGTGAATGTTTAAAACCTTGGATGTAGCAATTGTGATTACAATGCATCCTAGCTAGGTTCTTGGCAATCGTTTTCCCACGGAAATCCGTTTCCATCATCTTCAGTACAAAATTTTTTGTGAATTGGAATGTTCCATGTCTTGTAGGTAGATAAAAAATGGGAAAGACTGACTGGTAAAATGAAGGGATTGTTTTAGATAATCTTGTACCCTTTTATATAGAGAGAAACCTTCTATATCTTACTATGCTAAATGATACCTTTTTTACACCGAATAGTCTTTGTTATATAAGTAAGACCAATGGAACCTTGTATACACTAGCAAAGCTTTTTCTCCCAAACAGTGTGTTTATGGCAAATTGTAGTCGGTCCAGCGAGCTCCGACCCTTCCTGTTACTTAATTCTCTGCAATTGACAGATCTTCTAAGTTGCAAATACGGGACAGATATTGGGATTTTCTGCACCCGTGAAGGATTCTTGAGAGGGGTTGGTGCCCACTACACTTTTCATTGGGACTAGCAACTCTGTTTTACAGATGAATGTCAATCAAGTCAATTACTCTAGGGAACATTTATCCAATGGGTGTTAAATACATAGCCTTTCCCGCTTTTTGTAATTGCAGAATGCTCCATGGATGACATAATGTATTGATTGTATAGTTTGTTACATAAGATATTGTAAAACTGCTTCTGTGTTAATTGTCATGACTGCAGTTATAAGTTTTTCCATCCCTGTCGATAAGTGACTGTGTTCCAATCATCACATCTGAAGAAGAACATCATTACTGTGTGCAGTGATGCTCGATTGACATTTTTTGTGAGGTGGAGCAAGCAATTTGCGTTTCTGGATTGTTCTACTGAAGGCTTTTGAAGTGTTGTGAAGAAGTAACATGTTATATTTAGAATGTCTTGTTTTGCTCATGTTACAGGGCACATAAGTGTTACTTCTAGAACTTAAGCTGAAAGGATATCAAAAAGGGAAAAAGAAAAAAAAAATTGTGAATGATCAACCTCCAAACACCAACACTGCAGTATGCACTGCTCTCTGTATATGTGAGCACTTTGAGTAGGAAAATTTTTGTTGATGATGGACACAGATTTATTTCTCTTCCCACTTACTAACAGTCTGTGATCATTGGAATTGCCTTCCCTGTTCTCCCAAGTTAATTCATTGGTTGTAATATATTTGTATTATTTTTCTTATTGATACATTTAGAAAAGTTAACTGAATGTGACTTCACTTATTAGCTGTTCACAGAAGCTATATTTATTCCTTTAAATTAATAATTGCAAAATTTTATGTGAGGTGTAATTTTCTTAAAAGTGTAAATTTTAAAGATTTTGTTGCCTTAACCTCTAAATTGTTGTGGCAGTAAATTAAAATTTGCTGCCTTGGTATTTTGCTTGGAGTTACTGCCACACTACATTTAACACCTCAGGAATCCTGTGTATTTGTTGTTAGTCAATAAAGTACATTGTATGTACAATTTTGACTCGTGCTTGCAGAACACCACAAACGATTGCTGCAGCGTAGCATAGTTATAACCACCCTCGCATCACATTCACAAATGAAGTGGCAGGCATGTTAGAATCCTGAAATAGACCCATGATGTTGTTGGAACAGAATTTGTTGTCTCATGTGAGAGAGATGTGCAGCCCAAATATTGGCTTTTATGAACTTTGATGCTTGCACTTTGCCTCACTTCACAGAGCTACTCAAGCATTTTGTTCGGCTGTGTTGTTCTGTGGCTCCATTGCAAAAGTCTGTTTCATTGTGATTTATGAATTAATTGCAAAGGCAAGGAGAAAATGGTGATAACTGGTTATTGCCTGTGAAGTTTTCATGATGTGGAACACTGGACTGCTGTAAATAACATGACAGAGGTAGGAGTAATACATTTCAGTGTAATTGACAAGTACAGTATATCTTGAGTGTATTGTAAGAAAACTGGTAAATTTTAAAGAGATTTTAAATTAGTTTGGCCAGAGAATTTTAAATATTTCAATATGTCGGCTAGTTTCCAAGAAAATTTTTCATAGAAAGCCGGTGTGGTGTAATAGTGAAATAAAATGCATACATTACTTCCAATTGAATTAGTAGTCAAAATTCTGAATTTTTATGTGTGAGCAGAGTAAGTAATCGGAGTGCCGTTTGCTTTTTTATTATGCCGGGTAGTTTTGTATTCATGTCGAGCTTTGCCACAGCATTCCATTCACAGAACTGCTAAGTGCTCTCTAATTATTGCTCTTAGAAATGACTGTCCATTGTTCTGATTTTCTGGTTTGCGAACAGTCAATGGAACACATGTAAAGAAATACTTTCCACACCCTTTGCTGGCAACTTGCTGTGTATATTGTATCTGTGATTATGACCTATAGAAGCTTAATAAACATGAATCTGTAACACCAACTCAGTGAATTGTAGCCTTGCTGTGTGCATATCCCATCCATATTGAAGCTAGTTGCATAAAGATGACTTATTTGCAAAAATTTCTCAGATTGTACTTAGGAAATAGCAAACAATTTTAAAAATTCATAGTATTTTGTACTTGGCCATATCAGAAGTTGCCAGCTGACAAGATTTGCTTTTCATCGCACAAACTCAATGCTTTTTCAAATTCATAGAGATCTTGTGGAGTACACTTTGAGCACTGTTATAATGTAGGGCACCTAATAATCAATCCATAATGTATTTTTTATGTCATCCAGTAGTAATGATTTTTTATATCTGATCCTCAAAATCCATAGTCAATTTCTTAACACCTATGTTGGTGTTAGAAATTGCTTTTGTAGATCATTCTTTCTCTCCCTTTTAAACTAATGATTCTGTCAATGTCACTTAATATGAATGTAAATAGTATTTTTCCTGTGGGCCTATGCAAGCCAAGAAGCTCGTATAACTTTCTCATGTTTGAACAAAATTTTCTGCCAATAATTGTATTTTTATGGAATTAATCCAGCTTCACTATGTCATGTTGTACTGTTGTCTACTATATTATAATGTTAAGTGATAATATAAGCAAGTTTAATGACAAGATCTTTGGACACAGTGAAAGGTCTTGAACAGTTCTTCTCTTTTGTAGTATTGTTCTATAATGAATCTACATTAGTGCTTTGTATTTATATCTTTGCCCAGTTAAATCCTTCACAAGATTGTGAAGGATGGTGTGCAGGGTAGTGGTTTGCTTGGCTAACCAAGCATCCAGCTGCTTTTCTGTCTGTGGTGTAGGAGTAGTAAGTGTGAGCGTGTTCTGTGCAGATGTCACTCAACCTATGAAGCGAATAACCTTCCAAGTTTGTAACATACCATACGGTACTTATTGTTGTACTTATGTCCTTTTTTATTCTTGTGCAAGCAAAACAAGCTTACGAATTTTCAGCAATGATGTTCTTGGTGGTAGTGATAACTTATATTTATGATTAGTGAGTATTTTCAACTCTGAAAATAAGTAGTGGTTTACAGAAGTGCTCAATCTTGCATGGACATAAAAATTGTAGGCCTACTACTGCCACTCTTGTTTTCTTGTTATTTCAATAAGGAGAAGCAATTGTACGGTACAGGACCAAGCTTGGAGCAATGTGGATGGATTTTGAAGGAGTGCAAAAAAATGCGTTTCACGATTTATTGCAAAACATCAAGAGTTGTTCGAATAAATTGTTTGTATCTCCAAAGAAATTGTGCATTATCACAACAAGTGTTATTTTCTTTGAACACCATAAGCAATTAAGGAACATTTAACATATGCTCACTTTGTTTCAGTGATGCTTTTTCTAAAATAATTGCAAAGAATGTGCTTAGATGTATTACACATATCTTACAAACTAATTAAAAAAGAGGGCAGATGTTTCAGTAGATTGCAATTAATTTTTATGATGCTGAACTTTGCTTCAGTATTTTATAAATGGTAGCATTGACCCGTAGTAACTTCTGAATTGTGCTGCCAATTATATGGGATGTTGAAGAATCTTCAAAAACTATCTATAATTAATTGAAGTTATAAATTATTATAATATATTGGACAATTTCCCTTATTTTTAGGATGCTTGTTGTGTGATGCCATTTTCTGAGTGGACATTTTGTATCTTCACAAAAGCATAAAGATTAAAAAAGCACTCTTGAAAATATCCGTTGTATCACGTCATTTTGTTGGTGACAGTGTCATGTCTGTGCGGTTAAGGAACTGCAAGCTAAAACATCTTGCTCCGTGTTTGTTGCTTGGTTACAGTGTTTCATTTGCCTTGGCATGGCCTGGCATGAAGGTCAGACTGATTGGTTAGCTGTGGTCCATTTTGTTACTCATATTTAATGTGGTTTTGGTACAAAGTAACTGTCGATGAGAGTGCCAAGTTTGAAGAAGTGGGTTTTGGTGTGGAGGAAGTCCTTCAATTGAAGTGGTTAAAAATGTATTTAGTTCTCCTAGTCCTCGTTATCAAGAAGTAGACTGCATTTCTACCACATTTTGCCTACTAGAGAATTTTTTAAAGAAATATTGCACAACCCAATATTGTCGCAAGTTTTCGTCCAAACGTTAACATTTTGTGGCACATGTTATTAATATTATGACATTTTTAATAATATTCTGTAAAATTGTAATCGTTAAGTGTTTTTGTCTTAGTTTGTAGGCAGCTTTTTATTGCTATTATAATTATTATTTAACTGTTGTTTACCTATTTTGAGAGGAAGCATGTAGCTTTCAAATTATTTAGTTTTGTTTTTGTTTATATGCTTATTTGTTATTAATCTTATAAATAGCATTCCTCATTTTAATTATTTTTCATCATTCGATATGAAATGTAGCTGCTTAATAAATGAACACAGTAGAGTATCAGTATAGTAATAAGAAATATTTTTGTTAAGGAAGAGAATTTGACGATCTCTGTGCCCAAAGAAGGGCTCTGACCTCCACAGTGTTTATTCAATGTGGTGGCTTTCCTTTTGTTGCTAATTTTGTTACTTCTGTGCCTGAAATCCAAGATGGTGCAGAACTGTTAATAGTTTTTGAAGACATACTCACCTTGTTCCATCATTGAAAGTAACACCCCCATGCCCAGTAATAATAATAATATAATAATAATAGTAATATTCACTTATTGTAATCACTGTTCTTTTATTATTACTAGAATCTTTCATTTGAACAAATACTGTTGTTTACTCAAGTATATTCAATATTTTGTACTGGAAGTGTCAAACTATGGATTTGTAAAGTTAAATATTTGTACTATGGTAGTTTGTTTGGTCTAGTACGATGATCTGTCGGTGACATATCCTATAATATAATTATTACAATTGATGCTGTAGGAATGTGTACCTGTGTAGGTATCAGCTTGTTTTATCTATCTAGCTGCTTTGTAGTATGATGCTTACCCTTTTTGTAGTGACCGTAGTCTTGGTAGAATAACCAGCCTTCTTTCTGCCTCACGGAAGTGGTGGTGGTCATGGTCACAACATATTTTCATGGAGGCTGGTCAGTGGCCGAAAAAAAAATATAAATAAATCAGTAATTATAAAGTGGATATATTGTTACGTAGTTTGTTGATCAAATTTGTCTACAGTCCAACCCTGACACTCGAGGCACAGATTAGGCCTATTTCACTCAACTTTAAGACTGATGCATCAAAATAAGGGGAATAAAAGATGCGGGCTCTCGTTTTTTTATATAATAGAAGATAGGGGACAATTGATGTCTTATTTACCTGCCAAGAAACTAAAGTTTTTTATTAAAGTAAATAAAAAAGAGAAAATAATGAATAAAGTTGAAATCGTTTTAATTTATTTTGGAACACTTGTTTGTTTGGGGGCCATTGTTAGAACTTTTTTATTATAATATTTAATATCAAATGAAAAATACTATTGCAAGGCACATGTCCTTGTCCTGAAGGTTTAAAATAAGTTACAAAGTTGATAACCTGGGGCTGAACACTCAATCACTTCCTGTTCGTGTCTTTCAACCATCCTGCCTGCCTGCCTGCCACTTTGTAGCATGCATGAACATGTGTCTTTAGTCGCTCTCTCATGCAGTTTTTCTCTTCAGTTCTCTCCTTCCTACTCTAGATCTGTCTCTCTTTATCTTCAACATCTTTATTTTGTGCTTGCCGTTTTCAAATAAGCAGTGTCCAATTGCCTACCTTTCAGTGAATCGCACATATAAACATGTATCAAACCAGTGAAAAGAATACATAGTGACATCAGTGTAACTGAAAACAACTGTTTCCAAGTAGCCTTAAAAGTCTAAATGCAATTTTAATCCAATTTTCTCATGTGAATAAAATGAATAGTTATCACTGTTACATCATGGAACAGTGGACAATAAAATTATGTTATTGTATAATGCGAGGGAAATTTTCCAAGTTGTTATTAAGTGTCATACTAAAATGTTATGAAAAGTACTATCTAGAGCCTTAAAACTAGTTGTTTGTGTCTGTTTTAAACAAGTCTTTACATTGTCAAATATTATCGTTACTGGCTATCAATATTCCAGTAGCAGTACTCTGTTTTTTATATATCTGTATATGGTTTTTTGGTGGGAAAATTTCCATCGCAGTTCAGATATATTTGGAAGGATCCTTGTTTTGTATTTGGAGTTTTTCAAGGT